TGAACAGTTGGACTTTAGGGATTATTTGACATTGAAAAATTGCATATGAAATTATCATTTGTGTTGCTAATTTAAGAAAACACCTCAGAGCTAAAACTAGAAGTAAAAGTGATTAGGTGATTGTAAGAAAAAAGATTTATTTCATTTGTGAAACAGTCACAATCTCGGTCATTTTCTCTTTTCTCGTGTTGAAGATTAACTGATCTTTCTTTGCAGTGGAAGGCTGTAAACTCTGGTGTCAGGCTGGTCGGACACAAAAGGCTTTTGAAAGATGTCATGTTTGAGTATACGGGTCAGGGTTATGACTAATGATCGCAGAAAACATTCTATTTTTAATATTTAATGCTTACGTTTGAATTTGTGAAGTGGTGCGCATGCGGAATTTCTCAAGGGTGCACTGTGACACTATGCATGGCTATTGTGGTGGTCCATGGAGATAATATTATTAGTATTGGGTGCAGCTGAGGCTCAGAAGAGAGAGCGTGACCTTTACTAATTAGAAGTTTGGTAGTTTGATACATGGCTCCTCCAACCTACCTGAAAAAGAATCCTTGGGCCAGATATTGAAAGGGCTTACGCATAGACAAAGCCACGTGAATGAAGCTTGTTGTAAGAAAGCACTGACTGTGCTCAAATTGCCATATTTACGCTGCTACAATGATAAATGCATATATTAATTATGGCCACTATGGGTTTTTGCTCATACTGATCATCTATAGCTTCAGACTGCTTTAAATGCTCAGTTTCAGATTGTTTTTAGGTCACTCAGCTAAAGGTCAGATTAAACCATGGCGAGGTGTCCATTGTCCATCTCTCTTATAATGCCAGTATTTTATTAATGGGCATGTTATTCTGAAGGTCCAGCTCTAAAATGATTGTTTTGTTGTGTTTCCCACAGACCCACTCATGTCAGCGATGCACACTGCAAAGACAGCTGCACAATGTTTCCTAAAATAGCTACTTACCAAATCCTAAGACCCTATATGCTCTTTTTAAGGGAATCAGTTGAAACATGTTTCTGCAGTGTAACTGACCTAAAACGGACTTGTCTTATCCAAAATGGCACATAGAAAGCTATTTCACATAGAAACTGTGTGCATAGAAATGCAATTATCTGTACAGTATGATCCCTTTTAATATCAGGTGGATATCATGTCATTTTTTGGTGTGTTTTTTAGGTACCCATGGCAACAGCACTGCTCCCAGAGGACCGAGATGTTGCCGATGAGAGGAAGCGGGTCCTGGAGTGCCAGCCGATAGTAGAGTCTATGGTTGGTAGCCCCCTCATTCTGCAGGAGCTCAGCAAAGTAAGTGGCTTAGCTGTATTTTGCTTATTTGCAAAGGTCTTGACTTATTTTTTAAATACTTGGACTGAGTGTCCCAATTTTGAAATACATGTAAAACTGTTATCTCCTCTTCACAGGTGTACAGCAGCGGGGAGAGTCTCCTGGCTGTGGACAGGCTGTCTCTCGCTGTAGGAAAAGGGGAGTGTTTCGGCCTGCTGGGCTTCAATGGAGCAGGAAAGACCACGACTTTCAAGATGTTGACAGGCGATGAGAGCGTCACGTCTGGAGATGCCTTCATTGATGGATACAGCATCCGGAGAGACATTAAGAAGGTAAGAGGGAGGGAGATGGGAGAATCCACAAAGTCTAGAGTGGCGAACTACACTGCTTTCAACACACACAAATATTTAAAAAGAAGATTTATCTCTGTATAACAGGTGCAGCAGCGCATAGGGTACTGTCCTCAGTTTGATGCAGTATTGGACCACATGACAGGAAGAGAAACTCTGAGTATGTACGCCCGACTCAGAGGAATCCCAGAGAAGTACGTGTCTGGCTGCGTGGAGAATGTCCTGCGCTCGCTGCTGTTGGAGCCTCATGCTGATAAACTGGTCCGCAGCTACAGGTAGGTAGCTCTTTGGTGGAGGGAGGATACACATGTTATCCTGAAGAATGCTTGAAAAGGTTTTTCTAATAATGTGGCGTAATGCACATATGCAGCGGCGGTAATAAGCGGAAGCTGAGCGCAGGAATGGCTCTGATTGGTGGGCCTCCTGTCATCTTCCTCGATGAACCTTCGACTGGGATGGACCCCGTTGCCAGGAGGCTGCTGTGGGACGCTGTTACACGCACACGGGAGTCTGGCAAGGCTATAATCATCACTTCTCATAGGTACATGCTAAAGAATATGGTAGATAGCAGCTGATTTGCTCCATCTAGTTAAGCTTACACCTACCTAACTTTCCCACCGATATGTTCGTTCATCAGTATGGAGGAGTGTGAGGCCCTGTGCACCAGGCTGGCAGTGATGGTCAACGGTCAGTTCAAGTGCCTCGGGAGTCCCCAACATCTAAAGAGCAAGTTTGGCAGCGGCTACACGCTGCTGGCTAAAGTCCATGTAGAAGCTGAACTGGAGGACAGCGACCTGCTGCTATTTAAAGACTTCATTGAAAGCACCTTCCCAGGTCAGAGCCTCGTGATAGAAGAGTTGTTTCAATATTTCTAAATCTAACTATAAATACTTCTCATAAAAAATGTGAGTTACTAGAAGTAAGTTCTCAGGGATTGAAAATACCAAGATCATAAATAATTATATATATCTTAAGCTTCAAGCATGGCATTGCATGTTGAGGAAATTCTACCTGTTGTGGCTGTTTGCTGCCACTTGGTGGTGTTATGACTATATCCAATAACAAAAATGTATGCTATTCTTTCTCAAAAGACAGAAGCCATAATATCCAAAGACCTTACTGTTAATAAACTATACAATGAAGTTCCTTTTCTTCGTGGTGAAGCCTTTTAAATCCTTTTAATGAGTCTGTATTTGACCAATGCGGTCAAACCGAAATATTCCAAAAGGGTAAACAACACACAAGCGGCACATTTACAGTTTACTGAAACACTCAAGTGGGACGATAAGCTCATCAGATTAAGCTATTATTTTCAAAGTAAAAGAATAACAAAGCAAATGTAACTGTCAGTTTTCTTCCACAACAGGAAGTCAGCTCAAGGATGAACACCAGGGAATGGTGCATTACCATTTGACTGACAAAACACTAACCTGGGCACAGGTACAGTTACTTTTGTTCTTTTACCCAGCATCTGTTTGTCTATACTTTAATTGATCGTATTATGTTCTATTTTCTTACGTTTACCCCTGACCTATCCCTGGATAACTGAAAAAAAGATGAATGCACAAATGATGGAAATTATATTTATTTTTGTCCTTTTTTAAAAATTTTTATTATTGTTTTTAGTCATCTGTGAGTCAACTTTGAAGTAGATCGCTCACAAATAAAAAAATAAGTCCCTGCACTTGTGCTGTGTTATATCTCCCTCTATTGGACAAAATAGTAACTACATTGTTTAAGTCAGTTTTTTCTAGTCCTCTTGTAACTTGATCAAGGTTTCAACTTGACATTTTCCACGTCTTGATTGCCGTGTTTTAATTTTAAAGTCTGTATTCATATCATAACTTTAACATACAAACATGCTGTGATACATGGTGCACAAAATGCCTGGGAAAATACTGAAAAACAAAAAAATGTATATATAAAAGCTAACCAGTATTTGGATGTGCATGAAAAAGTAGATTTCTTTTTTTTGTCTGCTTAACTGTGTGCAAATTAAAGGTATTAAATGTGATCTTCACTTTTCCATGTCCTCTCTTTCTCAACTCCCATCTAGGTGTTTGGCACTTTGGAGGCAGCCAAAGAGAAATACCACATTGAAGACTACTGCGTGAGTCAGATATCACTGGAGCAGGTGTTCCTTAGCTTTGCCCAGTTTCAGCACTGCACACAGAGCGAGAGGAACTAGGTGAAGAATCTGTCCATCCCATCGCCCATTTCCTACACTACGTGCACACGGCCCTTACGCAGGGACTTGCCTCGGTTACATCGCCAGGCGTGGAGAGGAGAACACAGTTCGTCTCCAGCGCCGTTTTTAACCTTGAACACGAACACACACTCTGCGGGTCAGTGGCAAAAAACCAACTTCAGCGTTTCTTTTATTGTATCACCCGGATGTGTCTTTCTTTGGTCACTCATGCCATTTGCTGTTGTTTAAAAGTAGAAGAACTGATTCTGATTACGACACGATTACACTGACTCTTTTTAGCGAGGTCAAACAAAGAAAACTGCATCACTCAATAGATACTACCACTACTATGAAATGTGTGTGACAGGGATTATTTGTGTGTTTTAATTGAGTGTACAGTCTGTCATTTTGTTATTTATGATTTTTATTACTTTTTGTGTGTGTTCAAAAATGTGTGCTTTATTTCGGTGACTGTCAATCATTGCAAGAGAACGGACCACTCCAGTTGATTTTATTGTGTAACTGTCGCACACCTTTGAGCCTTATCTAACAAATGAGGGTTCCTGTTTCTTTATGTCACCCTTATGAAGAAGGACTGTTTTTGTTTTTTTCCTTAAGAGCCTCTTAATGTTGTTGCCAGATGTACATAATGCGATGTGTTCATGGTACTAAAACCATTTACTCATTTAAAGCCTGTTTTGGAATCATTAATGGATGCATGCCTAAAATAGGACTTGCAAAATGCACGAAACTGGGAGAGCAGAGAGCTGCTAGTGAACAATAGAAGGCCGTCCAGACTGAGGATTAATCCACAGGGTACATTTAGTCTCTTCTTAGAGCATTTACTACATCTCAATTTTCAGCTCCTGTGAGGTAACTATTCAGTTTTCTGCCCAACAAAAGTACAGGAACAGTGTGTTACTATGTGGATATCAGCTTCAGTGCTTACGTCGAAGCTGTTTATATAAAAAAAGAAAAAACCCACAAAGTGACGCTGGAGATTTTACTCGTGCCATTGTTCTGGTGAAACTCAAAGTCTTTCAATTAAAATTGGCCTAGAACACCGAGACTGCAATGACCTTTTATTGTTTTTTTCCATCAGCTGTGCAATTCACATGCTGCACCTGTGCATGTGTAAAGACAGCGACAGATAAAATGGGAGCCCACTTCCTGGATTCATCCCAGAGTCTGCAAAACAGATTGAAGACTTTTAATGTCTCCAAAAACGAATTCTTACTCAGTATCCTGCTGTTACAATCTGGGATAACCACACCGAGTCCTTTACTTGACATTCCTGTCCTCAAAGAAACACTTCCGAGAAATGAAATGAATGTATACCGTCTTACACACAAAAAGCTCTCTGACAGCTGTATTAACAGCTTGATATTATCCGCAGTGCTTTCTTTATGCTAAACAAGAAACTGATATTCCTAAAAACCCCACAGATGTGTTGCTTAGAGGTTTTCAAAGGTTTTTACATTATAATTTCTGTGTATTTGCACAAATCCTCTTTCATTATGTGTGTGACTTGAAATAACAGCATTGTTAGACAAGTAGAAAAATGATAAACATTTAAAAGGTTTGCGCTGCTGATATTGAAGAATGTTTAACGCTGAAATGTGGTGTATCAAATTTAAAAAGGGAATTTACATCATTGTAATTGTGTACTGTACTGTACCATGCCATGGGACTGACTTTGTCAACTCTAAATGTATCGCTACTCTTTTTAAATTAAATAATGCTCTATGCAAAAGGATGCAAAGCCCAGTGTGGGATCCTGTTTTTATATTTCAGTTTGTTCAGCATTTGTCCTGAATGGTTTTGCCACCAGAGGTAAGTGGTGAAGGGTTTTGAGTTTATTTTGTTGTTGACCTCTTCCTGGATTAAGAGGTCAACAACAACACACTGTGACAGACAAGGATGGGCAACCACATCATCCCCAGAAAGCTAACTTTCCCTTTAGGCCCCACAAAAAACCCCAAAACAAAATGCACACAAAACAAATGTATGTTAGAAATGGGTTTATGTAAATCTAAGCCAACCTAAAGCTGGACATCATGGCATACCTGCACAGAGAAGCAGGAGAACTGAGGTAGGCTAGAGTGAGAGAGTGGATAGCACCAGGTGTTCGAGTGTTTTACGATGCCCAACACCACTGGAGGAGAGCAGCGACAGACCAGTAGGAATGTAATCGAGTATTCATGAAGTACTTTAAGTATTTTCTTTTTTTTTTTTAATCTTATGCTACTTCAAACTTTTACGCTATGTTTTGCTCTTTGTTCCATTTATTTTGAAGTTTTTATTTATTTTTTATTCTTTTTAGATTAATTGCATTGTTATAACTCAAACTACCCAACAATATATAACTAATTAAAATTATTAAAGACCACAGGGCTACACATGAGCCTGAAAATGATGCCTATTGTTTTCTGTGTTGATTTTATTTCCGATTACGTATTCTCATTCTTGCTCACCCTGTTCCATCCCATTTCAGAAATCCTGGAAATACTCCTTCCCTGCTACATTTATAATTTAATGTTTGCACATCCTGATGTCCAGCAGCCTGTTTGGAGAGTCACGTGACAATCCTCATAGAGGAATGAATATATATATGCAGCAGAATTTGGATAATGGAGACCACTGTAAGGTCCTTCTTTAGTTTCCAAGTAAGCATTTTGACCTCCACCAGGTTAGTCTTCTGGAGCCTTTAGTGACCATATTTGTATGAGCCTCATTAACAAGCTGCCACACATGAACTGTTTGGATGTATCTGCTACTTACTTATTGTTATGCGACAAACTAATTAAATATTAGAATTCCACTCCCCAAACTTAGATCAGAATCAGCATACTTTATTAATCCCAAAGGAAGGATGAGCTGTATCACACAGCAAGCGATATGTTTTTTTTAATCAGATAACTGTGTTAAAATGTTCCAAAAGCCACCATGAGCATAAACAAGGTGGAGCCCCAGGGGACAGAGGTGGCGCCTAACAGACCTCAATCTTCTACATGTCTCTGTGTGATAAATAGCAACCCGGTAACTGAAACATTGCTGACCCTAAAAAAACATAGCTGTGGCTTTTTGAAGGGTGAGGCAGCTCTCACTTGCTCTGGCAAAACAAGTTCCTGTAATTAAATCACTGGGGGAGTTACCTAATGCACAGATGAGATATGCATCTCAGGGGCGGGAACATGGATGCTAAACCTATCATGGGAGTCCCTACAAGGAAGCTCTAGCAGTTTTCACATAAGTAACACAGAGAAAAACCACTGACACCAGACGGAGATGGCACTTTTTGTAGATTTTAACTTCTCCAGTTCCACCACTGTGCTGGCTGCTGCTGTTCTCTTGCTTGTTCTTTATCTCCTATCTGTCAGTTACATTTCTAAGGAAAGAGGGAAGGAACCCCCAGGACCGAGACCTCTGCCTCTGCTAGGCAACCTGTTGCAAATTGACCTCAAGAGACCCTACAAAACTCTGCATGAGGTAAATTAGGCCGTCTTCTCGTTCAAAAGGAGCAGCTTTAATGAAAGATTGCAATGTATTTAATGCTATTTCAGTTGTCTTTTGCTTAATTTTTATTCTTCCAGCTTTCAAAGACATATGGGTCAGTATTTACAGTTTATTTAGGAACCAACAAGGTTGTGGTCTTGGCTGGGTACGAAGCAGTCAGAGAGGCACTGGTTAACTATGCAGTGGAGTTTGGAGAGCGCAACGTCTCCCCGATATTTAAGGACCTGAACAGAGGTCATGGTATGAAATTCTTTCATAATACCATTTATTCTGTTTCATTTTACTATCACAAATAGTCCGGTCAACATATGATACCTGGCTTCTCAGAAATAACTAACAGCACTTATAGCTGCTGTGACTCACATGACTTCATGAAATACAGGTTTCCTCTCCATCCAGAGTTTAAAAAAAAGTTTAGTGCTACATATTCCTTTAATGTTGAATGTCTTCCGTGAGGATGTGACCCTGTTTGTGTAGTAAACTATGCAATACAGCACTTTTATTATGAAATTGCTTCAATCGTCCAGGTAAGGAAATCCCAAAAAGTTGATCCTGTTCATCTCGACAGCGTTTTCTGTGGGATAAACGTTTTGTCACTCATCCAAGTGACTTCTACAGTCTCAGCTGACTGCAAGATTCCCCAGCTTTATAAATAATGTTCATTGACCAATGATCATGAATCTGACATTTTTAGTCAGCGGTGCTAATTTCAATACAATAGAGTCACATGTACAATTTTAAACTATTTAGGGGAAAAAAAGACAAATGCAAATGTACTGTAATTTAGTAAAAACACTACATCCAGATGAACAGAATCGACTTTTTGGGGGGTACAAAATGTGATATATTCAAAAACAAAAACTACTTCAAAAGTTTAAAAATTTAAAAATACTCATTGTTTTCAGCCCTTCCTTACTGGTGGTTTAAGCCTTGTCAGCATGTTTCTATTTCCATGTCATAAAAATCAGTTAATTGAGTTTTTAAAATAAAGGATTTTATGTTTTGTAGGAATTTTGTTTGCAAATGGAGAATCGTGGAAAGAGCTGAGACGTTTTGCCCTCACCACCCTCAAAGACTTTGGGATGGGCAAAAGACTTACTCAGGGTAAAATCCTGGAGGAGTGTGGTTATCTGATTCAAGTGATTGAAGATCATAAAGGTATGGCAAAAGTACATGAACCATGAACTGCAATTTAAATGATTTTTTTTTAAATTAGCACACCTCTAAATGTTATATTGTGCATGTCTGTTAGCCCATGTATGGATTTATTTATTTTAGATTTTTTTTTTCTTGTGTATCAATTTTACAGGAAATGCTTTTGATACAGCTCTTCCAATAAATTATGCAACAGCCAACATTATCTCCTCTATTGTGTACGGAAGCAGATTTGACTACGGTGACCCTGTATTCAAAAACATGGTGAAGCGAGCCAATCGAACCATATGTGTCTCAGGTTCTGCATCAGTCCAGGTTGGCTTTTTGACAGATTCGATGAGTTGGTGAAGTTGGCCACGATCACATACATTCATATATGGAAGTAGAAAATTCTGTGAGACTAAAATCTTATAAATTAAATTAAATTAGCAACAACAAACAGACCTCATGACCTGATGTTTACTACATGCTTCGTATCTTAGGCTCCCATTCTACTTTTGAATACTCTAGGTCCCACAAGTAAACCAGCAGTGCTATGTGGTCCTATGAGGTCTATAAGATTAGACTGGGCCTGATTGTTCAAGACTTTGTAAGTGAAAGGATTTTAAATTCAACTTTGGATTTAACAGGAAGCCAGTGAAGACAAGCGAATATGGGAGAAATATGCTTGCAGTCAATACTCTCGCTGTAGCATTTTGGATCAACTGAAGGCTTTTCGGGGAGTCAGGATGGCCTGATAACTGATCCATCTCATGTCTGTCTTATCTGACTTTGCCGATTGTTGTCCGGCCTCCACCTCGTGACCTGCCTGGCTGAACAGGGATCCCAGGGGCTAAAGTCCCCATCGATATGGCTCTCTGGAAGGCATACACAACTCCCTACAATAACAAGGCTCTAAACATTCAGTGAAGAAACACAGGCTAGAGCCAAAGCTGTAGCGCTACCATTAGCAAATCTGGCTCTGTGGTGCATTGGAAATCTGACTATTTGCTTTTTCACAATCTTTTTTTTTTAAATTTTTATTATTGTTATTAATGCTCATTGATGCAAAGGCAGTAATTCTTAATCATGAGATACAATAAAATATATATATGACACAATATGCACTGATAGTCATTAAGGAATTAGATGGTAAAGCTACTTGAAAATATCAGATATCTTTAGATGCACAGCAACAGTAACTTTGTTATTTTTGATTTAAATTATTTCTGTGAGGGGAATTTTAAAATAGGTCAAGTCATCGCTGCTTTCATAAAAATGAAAACCAGGATTTGGTGAAACAATGTGTAATAATAATGTGTGGACTTTAATCTTGTTTTTTAATATTTAAACTATAACATGTGTCATTTGACAAAGTAAAATTTATTTAATTTTATTTCTAATAATTCAGTGTATTTACTTGGAATAAGCTTTGTTTAAGTTTTTTTTTTTTTTCTCCTGCAGCTTTATAACATGTTTCCTCGGCTGTTCGGTTGGATAAAAAATCGCCAGGTGGTGTTAAAAAATGTTGAGATGAATGTCAGAGATATAAAGAATTTAATTAATCATCTGAAAGAGACTCTGGAGCCTGGACTGTGCCGAGGGCTTGTGGACTGTTTTCTGATTCGGAAACAGAAAGAAGAAGTAAGACTATGTGTGTTTTTTGTTTTTTTTTTAATTATGATAATATTATTTACACTTTAGGATTGATAGCAATAAGCAATGTGAGTGTTACTTCTTTTAGGACTCCCGTGTTTTGGATACTCACTATAATGAGGAGAACTTGACATTCACAGTGAGCAACCTGTTTGCTGCTGGCACTGACACCACAGCAGCCACACTGAGATGGGGTTTGCTGTTAATGGCTAAATACCCACACATACAGGGTAAGGAACTGGACAAGACATGCAAGTCTCACCTCAAAAGAATGTGGGTGATAAGAAATACCACACTGTTAATTTGGGTTTCACCCAGGACTGTATAGGCGTTGGGTGAATAACAATGGTGTTCACCTTGGGGTGTCGGTCAGAACACACAGGACGCACAAATAAGGTTATTCCTTATTTACTGTTATTCTTTAACACAACAGCACCGTGATGTAACCACAGGCTTACAGGGATGGTGTACAACTTGTAGGTGGGGTCTGTGTGTATGGGCTCAATACTAAAGTAATAATGGTATTTCTGGTATAGCACAACTTTATCCTTTCAGTAGCTACCAAAAGTTAAGGAACCTAGCTTAGGATATTCATATAGAGATCCTCCAGCTTCAAACTGCATTACCCTTCCAGGACCTGAAGCTCAGCAAAGCACCCCAAACCCATCTATTCTCTGACTGGATTGTTAAATTTATGATTGACACGACATTGACCAATCAGGTGAAAGGCAGAAAAACTGGGACAAAATTCATACTCATAAGAAGAAAGTCACACATAGCCAGGGAACTTAAGTGTAGAGTTTAATACGCAGTTTTTTGCTTTGTATCTGTAACCTCTACGGTGGGCCTGAGAGGCCAAACGGACTGCAACTTAAGAAAACACCAGCAACAAGAAAAACGCTGCAAAAGCACACAAAAAACAACGGAAATAGGAAAAACGACAACGGAAATAGGAAAAAACAGATTAACAAAAGCACAAGAGAAGTGTTTCTGGGGAGACAATAACCCGACGGACCAGTTGCAGGAACCAAATTATGCTAAGAATTGCGCTGGGACACACTTAAAAGAAATGAAGGATCTATCGGTTTTGTGAGGAAAGAAAAGATGAGAGGTAAGTGTGTTAGCCTAACTATTAGTCTGAAAATACGTCAGCAGTATTATATGAATCATGATAAAACACACCATTTTTCGGTTCCTGCAACTGGTCCGTCAGGTTGTCTCCCCAGAAACACTTCCCTTGTGTTTTTTTTCCTCCTATTTTCGATGTCGTTTTTCCTATTTCCGTTGTTTTGTGTGCTTTTGCAACGTTTTTCTTATTGCTGGTGTAAGTTGCAGTCTGTTTGGCTTCTTAGGGCCACCGTTGTAACCAGACCTTAACAAAAAAATTTGTAACTGTGTAAATATTTTTTTACAAACACAAATCTTTTTTACAAACACACTTACACACTTACAAAACTCAGTTCACAACTACACATTTGATTTAAGAGTACAAAATATTTATGCCCACAATTTGAGCCCATATGTGTGGTCTGTAAACAAAACATATACAGAATGCTGATTATAATAAGGATTCAATCAAGATGTCTACTCACAGTTCTTTAGAGACGCACACAACTCACACTATGCCTAGACGTCCACTGTTGAGTCAGTTTACAAGGTGCCTCTTGCTATGTGTTAGCTTAACCTACATGCTCTGGACCATGTTCTCAATAGTTCAACTCTCTCGCCACAAGGGGGCTCTCGAACACAGTCGACAGCCTTTCCAACACACATAGTTGATATTTATATAAGGTGATAACACATAAATACGTATATAGAGTTCAGTGTCCTGTTGGGCTACAAGACCAATGACTTCAGTTATGGGTTTACTGACATGTCAGCAGGTGATATCAGAGGGAAAAGGCAAAAAAACCACCACCACTACCAGTCAGTGGTAAATAAATACACAGCATTTCATATGCAAACAATGTGCACCATAACAATATTCTGTGTATAATTTTTTTTTTATTTTTTTTTTTTTTTACACATTTTAGCTGATCTGTTAAAACTAATGTGGACAAATTTGTTTCTTTATTTTGTCTCTGCAGAGCAGGTCCACGAGGAGCTGAGCCGGGTAGTAGGAAGCCGACAAGTTTGTGTAGATGACCGGAAAAACCTGCCGTACACTGATGCAGTCATTCACGAGACTCAGAGACTGGCGAATATTGTCCCCATGTCTGTTCCTCACCAAACTAGCCAAGATGTCACTTTCAAGGGATACTTTATCAAAAAGGTCAGCTGCTGTACCTAAATATATTTTAACATCTTGATTCACTTCTGATAACCTGAACTAGTTCTGTAGATGTACATCTACATGAGAAATCTTCTGTTTCCCACAGGGAACTATTGTGTTTCCCCTTCTCACCTCTGTCCTGTATGATGAGAGTGAATGGGAGAGCCCACACACTTTTAACCCTTCACATTTTCTGGACAAAAAGGGTCAATTTGTCAGGAGCGATGCCTTCATGCCCTTTTCTGCAGGTATGACAACTTTGTCAGGCTTTTCTGAGAAAATTCTCACTAGCGCAGACATGATTCGTTTAAATGAGTGTAAACTCTTTGCATTTGCAGGTCGCAGGATGTGTCTCGGAGAAGGTCTGGCTAAGATGGAGCTCTTCCTCTTCTTCACCTCCCTCATTCAGCGCTTTCGTTTCACTCCTCCGCCTGGAATCACAGAGGATGAACTGGATCTCACACCAGCTGTGGGATTCACCACCCCTCCTTCATCTCATATGCTGTGTGCTGTCAGTCGCCAGTGAGAGACACATGGAACTTGACATTATAGCATTTACTTGTGACAATAGCATAAGCATTGTTTTTATCATCCTAACCCAACAGGAAACAGATGTCAGCATTCTGAACAACAGGCAACGGCAGATGTCAAGGAAACTGATTTTTCTGACTACTTTTTAGTTTTACTCCCTACAGTTTCAAACAAATATCTGTACTTTCTACTTATTACGTTTTCAAAACAGGCTCATTACTTTGGCTGTAATGCATTCGGGGGGGGAGTTATTATCTCGTCACTGCGGACCTTTGTTTGTTTATTAATCACCAGTGGATGAATAAAAAAAAAAAAGACGACATGTGTCAAAGTCAGGGATTAAAAGTGATTGTTTTTAAATGGTAAATGGCCTGCATTTGTATAGCGATTTACTCAGTCCCTAAGGACCCCAAAGCGCTTTACACTACATTTAGTCATTCACACACAGGCAATGGCAAGCTACGTTGTAGCCACAGCTGCCCTGGGGCGCACTGACAGAGGCGAGGCTGCCGGACACTGGCGCCACCGGGCCCTCTGATCACCACCAGTAGGGAAACATGGGGTTAGTATCTTGCCCTCCTGGCATGCAGCCAGGAGGCAACCTGGGATCGAACCACCGATTTTCTGATTAGTGGCTGACCTGCTCTGCCACCTGAGCTACAGCCACCCTGTTTTTAAGTGTCAGTTAATTTCCAATGCAACTTTCCTCTCAGCTCAACAAACATCACAAACACACAAAGTGTTTGTGTGCAGTTTGTTTCAAAGTGTGTTGCTAGCTAAAGGTCCAGCTGCTGTATTTCACAGGGAGAGAAAAGAAAGAGAGCCAACTTCACTCAGAGATGGAGAAAGATAAGAAAGACAGGACAGGAGAGGAAGAAGAGAGGTTAGATTCAAAGGTAACGACTGCTCAGCGGTATCTGATAAACTGGAAATTTAAAGCTTACATGTAAGTCCTCAGGTTCTTGAATCAGATGTTTTTGTACATGTGACATTATGCTTTTTAATGTTGTGAAACATGCTGTGAAACAAACTGAGGTAGAATAACTTTATTATCTAAAGGTTGCGTGAAAACCTCGCTGCAGGTTAGTGCAGGATAAACAGGTTAGTTTGTTGTACTGTGAAAAGTGAAGAACACACTGCTCTTTAGGAACAGTGTGTGACTGGTGCACAGTGGCTGTGGTTTCATGGTCACAGTTGGGTTGCATCAAGCGTAAGAGTCATCTGAATTTTAGCTGATGATGCTGAGATCCATTCACCGAATTCCACCTTCCAACTTTATACCATCTGAAAAAAGCCAGGATAAACAGTGTACTGTCAGTGTAGAGGAAATCAGCCAGGACAACCATGACACATCTCCTGACATCTGGTTGAATTCAGTTGTGCACATCCACAAAGAGCAGCTATCACAGCCTGTACACTTAGACAATCTCACTGTGCCACTGTGCACCAATTATTGTTGTCACAGTCCTGGGTCAATGATCCAGTGTTTTGTTTTCTGAATTATTAATAGTCTTTGATTTCATTGTTATTTAGTTTCTTGTCTCTTGATGTCTGTCTATGTGCTTCCCCTGTGTTCCTTGTTTCACATCTGATCGAGTTGTTTTCATGTCTGTGTTTTTCCTGGTTTCAGTGTCAAGTCTGTGCCTCTGTGCCTCTGTGCCTGTTTCCTGTTTCACTTTTACAGTCTCGTGTGCTATGTTAGTGTTTTCAGTTTTATTTCCCCGGTCTCGTTGTGTGTGATTTCTCCTCCTCCTCTGTCTCATTCCCTCATTATCCCTCTGTGTATTTAAGCCCTTTGTCGTCCTGTTTGTTGCTGGATTGTCTGCAAACTGCATTTCCCATGTTGCAGGGCTTTAGTGTCCTTATTCTTTTTTTTTTTTAGGTTTCTCCCAGTTTAGGTTTTGCTAGCTTACTCATTGCCACCCTTTGCTTTTGTTTGTATTCTGCTCTGCCGTAATAAAGGCTTACTCTCAATTCAAGTCCGTTATCAGTGACTGCATTCGGGTCCAATCTTTCTCCACTCCTCACCGTCTGCCACAGCAGACATGCCAAATGTGAGTTATGATTGTTTTCCACTCACTGAGGTATTGCAACCAATTTTAGGGTTCTCCAACCTCTCACATTAACCCCCGACTGCACACATTTTCCTGTTTAGAAAAACAATCTAGGTAAGAGAAAATATTTTTCTATAATTGGACTAAAAAAATGTTAAAGTTTTCCATCTACTGATATTATTTTGTCATTATGTTAATATAGCAGAAGGTTCAGTCAGCTTTGGACAGAAATAAAAAAAAATCCTCCAAAGAGCTATTTTTACTTTCATACTTTGAGTACATTTCAGAGCCTGTATTTGTTTGTTTGTTTTTTAATTTTACTTGAGAAAAGAAGTTGAATCAGTAATTCAGTTTTTACTGGAGTTTTTTTTTAGCAGTAGTATTTCTACTTAAGAACAAAATTCTGTACTTTTACCACCTCTACAAGGGAACCCTTTATTTCAGTCACTTCTAGCAAGTAAAAGGAGATTATAATACACAGAATGAGTTCTGTCAATCAAAATTTTCATCACCGACCAGAACTTTGTTTGAATGTGTGCTTTTTTACTAAGTGATTAACACGGCAAAATGCATTTGTGCATCATGTCACTGTTTTTGTTTTTCACTGTTATTTTAAGAGAGTAATTTGGTAGAGGTTTATTCTTTCAATTGCAACAAACTAAAGTCTTTAGATTTTCAGTGTGGTTTTTGCATGCGGTTAAACATATCATGAATATACAGAAGACACACTTTAACCAAAAGAGTGCAGATATTACAAAAGGCATGTAAAAATACAGCATGTTGGATCAAGCTTTAGATCATATAGGTATTCTTAGATTGTACTCTTATTTATATAATCTTTAAATCTTCTTAGCCAGCTATTTTAGAGCAACAACCAAAGTTGTGGAGGAAACTGAG